CCCTGGCCTCGTTCTTTACCGCAGCTCTAATGGTCTCATGGTTTGTGCCATGGGCTTTCATGTACGAGATCAGGGTTCAAAACCCAGTAAAAAAAACTTTAACAGAAAATCTCTACAAACTTTATATTGTCACACAATTACCCTCATTACAAACACCTGCTGACTTGACAAGCACAGGCTGGTATAGAAGACACATTTGAACTTGGTCACATTTCATTCTGCAAGTCCACTGCTGCAGGCAAAGCCATGCTACATGGCAATGCACAYGTGATTTTACATCATAAAAACCCATGTCTAGTTACTTTTATTTTTATACTTTAAGTAGTTTTAAAACCATCACAACTTTTACTTGAGTAAAAAGCTTGGGTTCTACTTCTACTTCCAAAAAAGCATTATTAAACCCTAGTTTCTATACTTCTACTTAAGTAAGGAATGTGAATAGTTTTGACACCTCTGATTTATTCATATAAAATGTTTTTAAAATAACATAGAAACAACTGGAAGTTACAAATGTAAAAAGAGCAGTCTTGCATTTATTCAGCATTATTGATAAGAGTGAGTTTTCTCTGGTTATTGAGATTTTTCACATTTTACCTTAAACTGATCACAGTACAGCGCAATGTTTTTGTTTTTTTAATGACAGACTTAGCTTTCCTTGAAGGAAGGCAAATCCTCCTCCTTTCATCCCAGAGTTTTGGTCTAAAATCATTTTTATTTTGAGAAATTATRAAAGTGGAAATGACACAATTAGGTTTTTGCTAAAGAAAAACTGAACAATGAAGCTTATTATAAATGTGCTCTATGCAGAGGATTTTTTAATAAACACCATGTGTCACATTGTTGATATAATATGATGATTTTTTCCCCTCATCTTCCCTTGTGTGGTTTTTAGTTTTTCTTTTAAGGGTTGCGCCTAAAATCAGTTAGTTATCACTACTTGAAAAAAAGCTAGTAAACTGATTACACTCAGTATTTATTCACTAGTTCAGTGTACTAATTTTTAAGTGCAATCGGTTTACAAGCTTTTTTTAAATAGTGATAACTAACTGATTTTACAGTGACCCTTGCTCTGTGCAGGGTCTGTGGCTGCACGACCCAAAGCACCTGTTCTCCTATGTTATGTTCTGTATTCTTGAGAATGGGTGTTCTGAACTGTAATTTCATTGTGCTCTGTACAATGACAATAAAGGTCTTATCTTATCTTATCTTATCTTATCTTATCTTATCTTATCTTATCTTATCTTATTCATGTAATAAATAAATGACCCCTAAAGTAAACATATAAATGAACAGAATGAGTATCCAGTTCACCTGCTAAGAAAAGAAGAAACATCTTATCTGTTTCAAATTTCCCCTCAGCAAATAAAAAGAATCAGAAAGCACAGTGTCATAGCTAATTAGAATCTCTTTATTACAATCACATGTACATCATTATATCTCAAAAAAGCTTTCTGTGGTGAAAAGTACTCTGGCACAGACAGATGGCATTGGAGTGGTTTGAACGCAGGGATTGTCAGATGAAAGTAGCAAGTGTCTCCGCTCCAGTGTGCTTTTTAATTTCACATCACATGAGGACAGCAGTGCTATTTTCAGCCATCCGTGTCCTTGTGTAACGTAAGCAAAGAGAGTGAAGGGGGTGGGGGGGGGGGATTTTTCTCTTTGTCATCCATTATTCAGACTGTTTGAATCACAAGAGAGAAAAAGGAAAACATGGAAATAAACACAGTGAGTGAATGACTCGTTCTTTTTTTTCTCTCTCACTAAGTGCTTCGAGTGTTTTACACAAACAATTTGACATTTCAGGTAATCCTCTTGTTCTCTGTCTTCAGGTCAAACTAAAACACGGGTTTACTTTTAAAAAGACACTTTGGCTGGAAGAGCTGCTCAGTCACAAAGAAAAAAAAACACTTTTTTTTCAGAAAGTGTTTTTTTAAACGAGTCAAAAGCGGCTTTGTGGATATTTAACCTGCAGCTGTTTCCAAATTATAAAGCCTGTGAGTGGCTTCTTTACTGATTATTAATAATGGGCAAAGTGTTGATTRTAAAATACATTGAATAAACTGCAAAGCCACATTGTTTTGATGGCCACCCTTCATAAGGAACACATAATCATGACTCAAATTTGACATCATCATCAACAAAAACCTACGTTGTGTTCAAAGTGATAACAAAAGTGTCTCACATCTTGGTTCTTGAGAGATCTGGATCAAAAAATCCAAATTTAACTTTTACATCAGTGTTTTCTTACATTTCAACTGACTCATCTGTGCTGACAAATGGGTTTGCGACTTTAAACTAATACCGGCTTGTCAGAAGTCCTTTGTGCATTAATTACATAACGCACATAAAAAAATGATTTGATGAACCCTTTCACTGCAGCGAGAACAAGAAAGTAACACAATTAAGCTTTTAAATCTCGATGTCAGTGTGACAGAACAATAACAGCTCTTATTATACTTTAGCTGCAGATTTCTACCAAATTTGCAAGAGGTTAAATTGGGTAGATTTGAATAACGTTGTAAATTTAGGGGGGATGGATTCCCTTCTTTGCCAGAATAGTAATACAATCAGATCAGAGCAGAAACTGTGTCTTTAAGAATTCAGCACCACTTTACAATAAGGCTGCCCTTATAGATGGCTTATAAATAGGATAGGTTTTTAATTCATCTGTAAACACTTTATAAATCATTAATAAGTGTTTATTATGCATTAATTAAGGACAAGAAAGAGACAAAGCTGTCTGKTTTCTTGCCAAATAGTGAGCCAAATCTGTTCATATTACATCTAAAGGTGCTTATTAAACATTTCAGACTGGGTCACTACCTTGGTTGCACAATAATGCTTTGGAAACACATATTTTACATTTAATATTGTACTGTATAACTGCATTATACATATCCACAACTATCAAAGGGAGCTTTATTGTAAAGTGTAAGACAGTACACTATTTATACGGCTCCCTTATGACATTTAAGTCATTAATAAATAGTGTACTCTTTAACACTTTACAATAAGACTCCTTTTGATGTAAATAYGTATAATACAGTACAATTTTATATGTAAAATCTGTGTTTCTGATACATTATWGTGCTTATAAGGTACTAACCTAGTCTGAAATGTTTAATATAGCAACTGTAGATGTAATATGAGCAGATTTGGCTCACTATTTGGCAATAAACCAGACAGTTTTCTATTTTTCTTGTCCTCAATTAATCTATGTGTTTGCAAATGTCTTAATAACCTATCTATAAAATGTCTATAAGGGGAGCCTTATTGTAAACTGGTACCAAGAATTCTTCTTCAAAACAAAAACAGATTATTTTTGTCATAAAACAGAGTGGGTGGCACCAAAGTGACCATCTGCTTGTTTTTGTTTGCTTCTTTAAAACACATTCTGGAGAACTCGATTTGGACTTTCTGTTTTTTTTTAATACGACTTACTTCTAACATAAAATTTTCTTTTCTTCCAGCCTTTACATAAAACTGAGAAAACAGAGCAAGAAGATGTGTCTAAAATGTCAACTTAGTAAGTGTTGTAGTGCGAGTGGTCTTACTCATAGTTCATTTAGTTTCATAACAAATAAATCTACAATTGAAGAAGGATGACGTGTTGTTTCAAATGTTCTGATAATWCGATTTTCATCTCCGTGCTGTTTATCTACAGCCTCCGTAACACGGCTAGAAATCTACAGAATCACACGATAAACCACTGGAGGCATCAGTTGGCACCGTCAGATCAGTTCAGCTCCATTCTCAGACGCACCGTGTGACAAAAACAAAATCAATATATACATGTCATAATGACACAAAACAACAGTAAAAGTCAATCTTAAAATTCCATTCAAAGAGACAKTAATATGCAGAATTTGTGTCCCTCTCTTTGACTGAAGCAAATTAAAGTCTCACTTAAGCAACTTCGAAAGATTTAAACATCATAATAAAAACTGTTCACACCGATTTTCAAACCGTCACAAGAAAAATATCGAAATATGTCCAACACAATCACAATATATCGTTTTGTTATTTTCTTCCATGAATCACTATGATAGCTTAGAAAAAAAAAAACATCAACACACACCGTCGCTCTATCTACAGTTGTTCCACTGGCCTCAGTCCCTGGTGCAGAAAGGTTTTATAAGGAAAACTTTTTCATATAAAAACGATGTGCAAAAAGTTGTCTTCTTAGGTCCCTCTCGTGGAAATCGGTATAAATATCTACAGAACCTTCGCTGTTGCCTTAGMAGGTCCCCAGATGCCTGTGCACTTGTGGTGTCTCGTCACTTTGTGCATCTGTTCAATTTAAAACAAATGACTGCATTCGCTGAGAACCTGACTCCATCACTGTCTTATTAAGAGTAACTTGAGGTATTATTGCACTTGTTCCTGAACTGCGGACCTGTCCCAGCGTTGAGTGGAATGTCTCTGACTGTCCCGGCCGGATGGGCGACGGAAAGCTCACCGGAGATCTGTTCCTTCTTTTCTCTGAGCTGTTTTAACACAGCCGACGTGTCACTGTAGATTTCAGTAAACATGCATAAACTGTTTTTTTTAATGCGTCGACGGGTTGTAAACATCCTGCCAAGAGTAAAACACACAGGCAGGAAAGAAGAGCTATGTGTTGTTTTTTATGCTGCATTCACGTTTTCTTAAAAGAACAGAAAGAAGGAAGAAATTAAAAGTTATCTTCTGCGACTTCCGTGCATTAAACATTGATTATAGGGCTGCAACGATACAGAAACTTCACGATTCGGTTCGCTTCAATATTTTAGTCTCACAGTTCAATATTTTTTCGATACAAATAACTAAAATTTCCATGCCCTTTTTAACTTGTAATTTATTGAAATTATTTATGAACATTTCTTTAACCTCAAAAGTACCACTTTTAAATTAAATTTAAACTTAAATGTTGCTGAAACAGCAAGTCTCTCAATGGATCTGCGCTCGAAAATACAGCCTAGGTGGAGTAGTCGAACAAAGATCCACTGATCCTTCAACACAGAGCATCTTCAGAAGACAAGTTCATAAAATAATTTTTAAAACTCTGTATTGTTCGATACAAGTGTGTATTGAACCTAAAGCACTGTATTGAACGGTTCGATACGAGTACTTGTATTGTTGCACCCCTAATTGATTAATATCGATCCTCTGCATTTTGATTGGACAGCAGTAAGTTATCAATCTGCTGCTGGCTGCATCCCATCATTTTCCTGCAAAGCATTACCTCTCAGAGCATATAGCCAAATAGGAGAGAAAATAATTCTATGAGGATGTAAAGCTAAAGTTTAGCCTAAATTTTGATTCTAATTCGATTTAACTTTGCAACCATCCAAGCATTACTTTTGCTCTCAGGTGTTTGTATTGTGATCGTACACACACGGTGTGATTACGGCACAAACGAGTGTAACTTAAATGCAGCATAAAATCCTGCTCAAACCTTGCAGCATATGATTTCACAGGTTAAAGTTGTGGATCGAACCCTCTGCAGACCTACAGTGTGATTTGTGTTGAGCAAACTGCCACAGTTTTGTTCTTTTCTTTGTAAACAGCTACTAATAAAAAGCRTTCAGGATTTGGCTTTATCTCGTGCAGTGAGCGTTGGAACTGCTGCGGTTAGTTTTGTTTCCTGTAGAGCTGATGTAAAAAGAGTTATTGTACAGGCAGCATATTAACCCCGAATGGTATCGCCCCCCCCCCCCCCCCCAAAAAAAAAAAATAATATTATGGCCTATTTGAGGTCCAAACCCAGACGTCCACAGCTGTTTTACGGTGAAATAAACTGAGCTAAGTATGTGGCATGAAACACGTTGGTGCAAACAGACGAGCTCATCCGACCTTGTTTGCTTGTTTGTCATTGCGAGCATCATGCACTGACTCACACGCTTCGTTTGGAGTGCTGTACACAGGTCACACACACACACACACACGCGTAAAGCTATCAGTTGAGATGATGCACAGCGATGACAGCGGCGTTCGCGCTCTCAGACATGTTTATCTAAACAATGGAACAGTTTTGTAAATATAACGGTTCTCCGTCTTTCAAAGGACGGCTGAAAAAAGTGGATATCAGTTTGTGATTCAGGCGCAAAGGCCTTGTGTGTTTTCTTTAAATGACAGATCCATCTCAGAATGTTTTGAAAGGAATGTATCAAGCTATTGATGCTGTCGAATTCAAATCTTTAAAGGCACAGTGCGTAGGATTTTGTCAATTATTTGAGCCGAAATTGAGATAATCACTGACGACAATAATAAAAAACATGTCTAATC